TGTATTTATCCGATTTTTTTTACTCTGATTTTTTAGCCTAGTCCGATATATTGGCGATATCTTTACATGAAGTATTTTTGCCGATCCATATTTTTTATCTGATTTTTTCATCCGACTTTTTAAAATAAAAACGAATTTTTTCCGATTTTAAGGTAAGCCAATTTATTGAAAGTTCCCGACTTGCTAACTATGTTCTCAATAGCAAACTTCTATGTATGGTGGGGGAGAATCATATCCCACCAGTTCACGCCCACAATCACAGGATACAGTCTTTGGCAACCACAAGAGGAGAGATCTATCAAACATAATGTCGATGGTTGCTCCCTTCACAATTTTGAATCTTCAAGACATGGTGAGATCTTCAGAGATCACCAGAGTAATACTTGTTGTAGGGTATTTTTCGACACTTGTATCCTCGGTGAGAATAAAGAGGAAGCCAGTTGCGACCTAGATCCAAAGGTACACAAAATACCTACAAACTACGAAAGCACTGATTGAATAAACCTTGATTTTGAGTGAATTTTGAAAGGTGTCAGATTGGTCCCAAAAAGCATGTGGGGGTGGCATTTGACTCCCTAAGAACACCCGCCAAGTTTCATAGCAATCTAATGAGGTTAAAGCAGATCAAACAGAAAATCAATTTCAAATCCTGCTCCTAACATGCTAAAAAAGTGCCTCATAACTACATCCCTATTATCGGGGTCTCAGATGAGTACCAGACTGCTTCCATTGGATTCAAAGGTCCGAAAACCCCCAGATATCAAGTTTCAACCCATTCGGGAGCTTCTGGACCATTCTAGGGCAAACATAACCCAAAAAGGTAGGTTTTACACTATTCTGGTGCACCCTCGATGAATCAGTTTCCAAAAATGGAAATTGTGCTTTGTGAACTTGGGATCATCTTCCAAGAGGCATACCTTCTCCATTTTAAGCCCAATCGACCCCAAATTTCAGAGGGTTCTTCGTCTCGCCTACTCTTACGTTTTGCTATATGGCACGGCCCAAGGCACGCCCCGAGATAAAAGAAATCCTAGAGAGAAGTGGCATAAAAAAAACTCATGTATTGCAGATTTTTGAAAGAAGGAGATCCCTTTGATCAAGTGGCCGTATCATGAAGCCCTGACCTCGGATCGTCTTGAAAATGGGTCCGTTGCGACCATGACGTCGACGGCTTCGATTTGAGGTAAAGATCACATGTGATTCAAGACCAAAGACATTGTATTTTGAGGTTATAAAAAGGTACATTTTCTGGCGATTGGAATTCCGTTTACTGGCGAGTTCCCCAATTCGAAAAGTGACAACCCGGCAATCAAATCGAGCGATTTTTTTCATGAAATGATCGTGGCGGCTTCCCCGTCAATCTATGATGAAAGAATGAACCCAACACATCAAGAAACGGACATGATCGAGCATTCAAAATGTATCATCTTTCGCCGGATTTTAAGAAGGGTTCGAAACCTTGATTCATCAAATTATATGTCAAAACGATCGTCTAGTCAAGACCGTCACTTTTACGATATTATTTTCATCAGAAGGCTGCTGGAAATGCTTGAAAAAGGCCCCAAATGATCACCATGTCTATGAAGCCTTTTTGGGGACCATCCGATCATTTCCATGATTCTAGGTGGGGGCATTTTGCCCCAAAAACGGGATTCATTTTTAATTCTATAAAAGTGTAATTGTTTATAATTTGGCTTGCTTTTAGTCATCCACCCTTGTTTCAAGGGGATGATGTATAAGCACCTTATGCTCATTTATAACCCTAAGTTCAAAGTGTTGGAAAAATTAATGAAATGCACTGAGCTTCCCCTTAGTTTGTGATTTTTGGTCTCTATTTTTTTAACCCCAAAGAGAGGAAAGAGAAAACTTTCACCCATTAAGGATTACCCCTAGAACCTTCCATTCCAACCTAGAACCCCTCACTCCCAACCTAGAACCCTTCACTCCCATCTTCCATAATCCTCATTCCCATACACCTTAGGCCTACTTTCTATAGTCCTTAGTCCATAAACTCTAACCCTACACCCTCACTTCCACACCAAGGACTCAACCCACCTTGAAGGACACATCAAGAAGGCTAGGACCAACCTAGCCCCCAATCCAAACCCACGCACCACACTACGTAACTAACCCTACCTCCTCTCTCTCTCCTCCCTTCTCTCTCTTACTCATCAGACCGGAGGCTAAGCCCCAAGTCCCTCTCTCTTTCTCACTTCTTTCTCTCTCTCTCTCTCAGTCTCAGACTGGGGGCTAAACCCCCTATCCCTCTCTCTTTCTCTCTTCTCTCTCTCTCTCTCTCTCTCACCCATTCGTTTGGACCGACAGCTAAGCCGTTGGTCCATCCCTCTTTCACTCTCTCTCTCTCGTCTAACCCCCCTCTCTCTTTCTCTCTCACTCTCCCTCTCCCTCTGTCTCTCTCGCGTACCCTCTAGCCACCGGCCCCTCCCCCTTCCTCTCTCTCTCTCTCTCACTCTCGCCTATCCTCTTAGACTGGTGTCTACGCCGCCGGTCCCTCCCCTTTCTCTCTCGTCTAACCCCCTCGGACCGACGGCTTACCCTTACTCTCTTTTCCCCTCTCACTTTCTCTCCCTCTCTCTCTTTCTCTCTCTCTCTCTCCCATAATCTGCTTTAGGCATTACCAACGCATACTTTTGTTCACATGGAATTTGTAGATTTAGCTATGGACAATGTCAAAAGTGACTAATCTAACTAATTAAAGATAGTATTGATATTGATATAAGTAGACTCATCATCATCATCAGAGTCTTTTTCCAACTATTTAGGGTCGGTTACACGAATCTTGATCCGTCATTACATTCTATCAAGGGACATACCCTCAGTGATTATGAGGAACACCTTAACATAAGCAGATAACGTAGATTCAAGATTCATGAAAAGTTTTACATTGACTGCCTACCTAACACAACCCACCTTCTTTACGTAAGCTTGGGATGGGTTAAGGGAAAGTTTAAGATCCTCACTCTTCTTGGACCAATTTATATAAATAAACTATTTCCAATTATGACAAGATAAAAAAATAAAAGTCAAAAGGGAGAGGCCAACCTCTGGCGCTATGGGGGCCAAGCTGCCTAGAGGCACCATGTAGGGTCCAAGCAGGTACCTGGATTCTAAGGCAGGTGTTAATTTGAAAAGATTTAAAAAATATGCCATCTCAAGCATAAAACAAAAAATAGTATTAATGTTTTTTAGTATTTACATGGAAAAGTGTAAAATAAGTCCATTTTCTTTTCGCACAAGGAGATCATAATTACTATTTAATGTTAGTTGTGAAATCAAGCAGTTGGGGATCTACCATTGATTGGGCACGAAATCCACACAAAAAAAAATTTCTTGAATTTTATGACACATCCCAAGCTATCGGATTTCATTTCTGACAATTAAAGATGACTGTAACCTCCTTGTACCAAAAGTGAATAGTCTTATAGTATACAATCCTGCATACATTATACAAGTGCTCTTAGACTCTCAATATACTGTCAAGTTCACTTAAAAAAACATACATGGAAGTGTAAATTGATCATAAGCCTACATATCCTATAATGATTACTTAAATTGAATAACCCACAAATCAAGAAGAACAATCTATGCATAAACAAGTGTAATTCAAGAGTCATCATAATCATTAGAGCCCTTTCCCAACTATCTGGGGTCGGCTATACGAATCCCGGTCCGCCATTCTGCCATATCCTCAGTGAGGCAATCAATTCCCATATCTTTTCTCATTATCTGGTACAACACGTCGCTTATGGGGAACGCCCTAGCATAAGCCAATAGCATAGATTTAGGATTCATGGAATGTTTTAGCAAAGTTTTATGTTGGTTGCCTACCAAACACAACCCACTTCCTTTACCCGGGCTTACGACGGGTTAAAGGAAAGTTTAAAGTCCTCACCCTTCTTAGACCAAGTGTAATTCAACAATCAAAACTTTAAATGGCAAATCTAAAGAAACTAAAGGTTTTATCACCATCTTTCTTTGATATCAAAGGGACTTGGGAGCTGTAAACCCCACCAAACCCTTTTCCACCTCCTCAACAAGAGAAACTATTATTTGCCCTCAACAGTAGGTGGATTTTCTACCTGAAGTAACTTCTCACCAGGCAGCCGAGACAGCAGTCTGATGAAAATTGCAATATCTTTTTGATGTCATTGTTACAAAACCCCAGCGAGTCCAAAATCACTTTGGAACTATACATATGGAAACCTGCTGAGTTTGGCCAGTACCCATTATTTCTTTTTTGTGTTAGACTCGGCCAAGTCTCTGACAGACTTGGCTAAGTTAGCCAGACATGAATAGGCTCGGACCCTTCTGAGGCCTGACCCGAGTCCATGTTTTCCTACACTGTTCAAGGCAAAGCTCCACAAGCGTCACTTTGAAGGGGCCACAGGGAAGACAAGGCAACTGCTCTTGATAACATTGGCAACCACAAGCGGTATTTGTTCAAGATGTCCAATGCACACTTCTCTTGGAGATAGGAAGATCTAGACCATGACAATTTTCCAAAGCACTAATTCAAGAACAGACAAACAACACCAATTTCAAAAATGGTTCCAGGTTGATGATATGGGTTTTAGTAAAATCTATCTAGTTGTTCTCTATTCATAAGAAACTCCAAGAAGTTGAAGCTTTATCAAAGATTTGATATTTACAAGTTATCCAATCCATGCTTGTTATGTCAGTGTATTATGATTTGTCTTTTACCTAGCCTGCAATAACAGCATATTACGTAAGTAAACCATCAGGTGACCAGTAACCAGGAGCTAGTATATAGGCAATTATGCATAAATACATAATTGCCTATATTGTATACATGTATACATGTCAGCAAAATCTTACAAACAAGCACAAGTAACAGAAATGAGATAAGATTCATTGAGACTCTTTTTCTAGTTCACTATAAAGATCAAATCAATGCATTAAAAAAGACATTTTACATAGCTACAAAGACACATTATAAAATAAATAAATAAATAAGCTACCTGGTTAAGGCCAAGGTACTCTGATATTCTTAAAGCCAAAAGATGTTTGTGTGCATTAATCAACCGAGCAATCAGTACTGGTGGTGTGAGCACCTATCCCCATACACATCAACATGCATGCATAAGATAATAATTTGAATGCAATTAGTTCGACAAAGCATAAAAATAAAGCCCATTAAACATGCTTACCTTGTATTGCTCAATACTTAAAGGAACACCAATTTCATGATTCCGCACAGCATTCAATACCCGTAATGTCTTGCACATTTCTTGAAATCGGTCACGTTGGAACTGGCTGCCAAAGCCAACTGGATATGATTACCGAGAGCACATATCAGAAGACAAAGACTCTCTAGGCAAATGATATCGAAGGCCACAGACACGACCAAAAGAATAGAAAACACAGAGCATGAAAAGTGAATAAATAAATAACAGAATAAAAGCTGTATCGAAAAAGAAAACGAATAAGCATGAAGGTCTCCATATGAAGAAAAAGAAAAAGAGTGAGTATGCAAATCTATATGATAAATAGCAGATGCCTCATGAAACACTGGACCAGTTTTACAGCAAATGCAGGTTCCCTGGCATGAAGAAAAGAGATGTAGGATGGAAGCAAAATAAACATGAAACTACCTTAAACAAAGCATAACAAAATTCATATTAGATATTATCGTGCATCAGAAGAAAATACTGTTAAGCATCAACAACACGTACTCTACACAGATAATATCTTGATCACTCAAAAAGTGCAGTTTTTTGTCTCTCTGTTGTAATCGACTTATTAGATAGAAGATAACAGGGAAAAGAAGAGATTCATGAAGTGATAGCAAATGTAACCACTAAAAGGATAACATGACAATGAGCAACCAAAACAATCTCCTAATATCAGAAAACAAAAGGAAAAAGAGCACGACCCCAGACAGATTGATAAAGACAGATCAAAGAACACTAGGATCAACCTTCTGAATGCATCATTCCTGACCAAGCAGATAGCATGAGCTCTGTGCCCATTCACTAGATTCTATGACTTCATCCATATTGGTATCCAAGGCTGACATAACAATTTCAGTCCTTGATATGCATGCTGACAGGAGATCCAGATCTAACGCATGCTTCGGAAAATGGGAACACTTACAAACAACATGCCCCTTAACATATCAAAGAGACAACTGGAATGTCCTGCATGTACCGAACCATTACTGAAATCTCCTGCAACCTAACAGTATGTGCATTCCCCAGGTCCTCTAGCTCCTTAGAATTATTCATCTCGGAGAGTTGTTTCTTAATAACCATATATAAGGGGCTATTACATTTTCTCCTCCTTTATGTCCTTACATTTTTTGAGAAAATTTGACTTATATTTTAAATATATTTTACAACTTTTTGGTTATTTCATGATACATACCCAAAAGAGATGCCTTAAACATAATGAACAAGCTTAAAAAACTTCGATTTGGATTCAATGAATAACATATTTTACGGGAGAGGCAACAACAACAATTCCAAATTCAACAAAATTATGACCAACATGTGACAGCTTAACCTAGCAGGAACAAGCATATTTACCTATTCTACCAAGCAAGAAAGCATTGTAGCCAGTAGAAATATCCCCCAAATTAGAGAACCATGATTTTTAACCTCTTAAAAAGAGAATTTAAAATTGACAAGTGAGTATCGTAAATCCCTATGTAAAAAAGGAGTAAGAGCAATGATGAAACTTTTCAATGTAAAGCTATTCAAAAAGCCCAATTGGAAATTCATATTTAGCGAAAGATATTGGATGTACTTGTTTCTCTGCCAACACTATCATAGCATGATTAGATAAAATAAGATGAACTTGGCTAATTAAGTACAGAAACACCTCTACTATTTGTGTCAAGCAATGCCATGGAAGACCCACCTGCAGAAGGCCCGACCATAGCAGGCAGCTCTTAGGAGAGTCCGTTGGCGTGAAATATCATATTCATGGCCTGCAGCATCAATACAAGCTTCAACTGCCGCTGGCAAGGAGGAGCGAATTAATCTTAAATTTTCATCAGCCTGTCACCAAAGTATGTCATATTTCGGAACAAAGTATGTCAGCCTGTCACCAAAGTATGTCATATTTAATTAAGACCAACATGTGCCAAAAGAGCTCTAGTAAAAAGCTTATGCATGAAAAAAGCAGCACGTTGAAATTACAGAGTGCAACAACACTTAAAGTTATAGAAGTTCCATGCCAGCAGAATCAGACAGCAAATATAATTCCTATACTACAGCACTTGAGGCATGATATACAAGATGGATAGATGGATTGATGTACAAAGCAACCACACACACAACTTCAACTCTAATATTACCTGTCAGAAACCAATGGATTAGCTCAAAGGAAAATTTTGTACAGAAAAAAAAGAATAACAGCGAAAAGGATGGATATCATTCATGAATTATGGCCAGGACCAAATATTTAATCACCACAAAAGATCGCACTTAATTACGTACAAAAGGATTCTCAAAACAGAAACAAAGATTCCCTGAAGACCTAGTCAAGCACAAGAGACATCCCTAAAAAATGCCAAATAAACGATTAGAGTAGAAACTCTGAAACTAATTCCAAACAAATGCTTAAAGTAGGGTATATAGGCAAGGAGATGATATGTCGGAAGAGTGGTGCATTGTCAAATGAAGTGCACAAAATACTCCATCAGAAACTTGTTGTAAGATTTCTACAAACAGCCAAGTCTCCATAAGTCCAGACCAATTGATTAGTGCAAAGTAAAAAATATAGTAACAGAAGAATGCCTCTCCTCTAAAAGCAAAATTTCTTGAATTGAAGGAACTCCTAAAGGGTTACAAGAAAACCTGCAGGGCTGTGAAGACCCCCCATATGCACATCTTCCCAAGTGATCTCCAAGTTCGTTAAAGGATCTTCCACAAAGGTTTCAACCTCAACGATGCCTTACATTACATGCACCATACCCAAGGCTTCAGATACATTTCAATGTACAAAAGACCTATATAGTACATAGTGTGCCAAGTTCCACAGAGATCACCCAAGTATCCTATCTCATTTTAAGAAGTGGCACGTTTTCCAATTCACAATGTGATGGTATTGATCATTTAGGCATGAAGTGATATGGTTACCCTATAATACACCTTAGTCCATCAACAAAATATCCTTGGTTCAAATTCTCAAGGAAATCCACGTAAATTATGAAGGCCAATAGCTGTAAACTAAGTCACACAAACTCTCTAGCTTGATAGCTTATATCATTCATCAGTGATCCTGACTTTGCATTTAAGTAAATCCCTAAAACATGAAACATGCCATTCAGGCTGCCAACAAGCGTGATTCGGCCCAGCCCGGCCCGGAATTCGTGATTTCGGGCCATGGCCAGGAGAAGCCCGGAAAAGTTTTCTTAAGCCCTGCCCATGCCCAGCCTGAAAACGGATTTCAGAAGGCTTTCGGGGCTGGGCTTAGGCCAGCCCAAATATAAGCCCGGCCCAGCCCAAATACAAATTGTCTTTTCTTTTTTTAAAGTAAGATCTCTCCCTTGGAATTTTTTTTGCAAGTCCAATTACCCAAAAAAAAAAACAAGAAAAAAAACTTTTCTATAGAAAAACTATACTAAAACATTTTTACCAACCCTAACAAAATCTAACAAATAAAAAAAGTCTTTTATTGAAAACCAAAAAAGGTCATTTGGGATGGCGATGGAGGCACGTGGCCACCCAACCACCACATGCCCCCCCCCTTTCTCTCTCTCTCAAAAAATATAAAATAAAAAAAGCTTTTCTTAAAACCTAAAAAAGGCATTGGGGAGGGTGTCCATCACATGGCCACCCAACCACCGCATCCCCCCCCCCCAAAAAACCTCGTCCCTCTACTCTCTCTC